CTCTTACTACTGCCAACATTCATTATGCTAATTTAATTCTGAGAAGTAGATGCTGTCAATTTGGTCAAATATGTAAATATTTTAGTGACATTTGCTAAAGAAACCGATTGAATTCTTTTAATCAATTAAATTTATTGGAATAAGATCTGTTTTGGAGAAAAAGTTTTTTCTATGAAAAGTCACTTGAAAAATTTTCAGTCGCGGATTCTTCTGATTTGGAATAGTCTATATTTTATAAGTTTCGATGTATCTAATGTAGTTGTTGTAGTTTCTTCATTGCTATGTTCTGAGGGTATGTGTTAAGCAGCTTCAGCCTTTAAATGGATCGATAATTCGTCCAAAAACGAATCCACTATTTTCACCAAGTACACCAACTGAGCCTACTTTGTCAGTTTCCGAGCAGGTTAAGAAGTGGAATAGAATATGAATTGGCAGAGCCAAAACAGGTTTTGGAATCTGCTCATCAGATCATTCGGCGATTAAAAGTATGACTTCATAGTTTTTCTTTTCTTGCATGCGTTTTATTATATTTTATTTCGTACAGCAATGCCGTATTCTACACGACTGTTTACTTTCAGTTCAGTAGTATTTTTTTATTCATAACCATTTTGATTCGTCATCATTTTTGCCATTAACCTAGCACAGTAATGAGTGAGTCAACAAAAACTTACAGAAGGAATCTAAATTTGAGCGATACATAACTGGTCTGTTTTGAGTTCTTGTAGAAATAGGAAAGAATGCGACTGTTGAGTGGCTTCCTCCAGTCACTGTTGTGTTTGAAATACCTGGCCCTTTAACACTGCTCTCAACTTAGAGTCCTAAAAAAAATGACTTAGATGTACTGTGTAAAAAGCGGAAGGTATTTTCACTGCTAACATAATGTGCTGTTGCTGTCTTTTCACAGGCTCTGTACTAGTTTTTAGGATTTATGATTTTGTCAAATTCCATGTTATTGATATCACTTAGTTGAAATCAAAACAAGATTTCGACAAGGGGAATCCAACATATTTAATATTAAAGAACGGATTGCTGATGTGAGTTTTTAGGGAATTCTTTGTGTAATCAGATTAGTTATTACATGACTTGATTTTATTGCTTGACTCTGAAGTACTCTTTTTTATAGCTAAAGGTTAATATGCATCGATTTTGAAACAAATATTAACGAGGAGAAAAATTGCCTTCTTTCTTCTGGACTACTAGTACTGTCACTTCTAATGGACCAAAGGTAACGTTATCAGTTCCAATCCTCTTTTTTGCCTCATTGAAGAAAGTGTTTCCTTATTTGGTCTGTATAAACTTCTGTGGTACAGAAATAAAAATTTTGTAGCTTACTCTATATCATCTTTTCTGACATGGTGGTGGATAGTACCATGAGCATTTGTATGTTCATTACATTATAAGAGGTAATTGTAACAAGCAATTTACTTTCAGTGAAAATCGATTTTTGAACAGTTGCTTTCTTTGTAGCATCCATTTCATTTTGACTTTTTCAGAGTAGGAAAGGTGTAACCAAACTTGATCATTGCAAAGGTGTGCAATCAGCAACTTATAAAAATGCATTTGAATCGCTTTTTAAAGATTTGCATGCTGAGCAAAGAAGGTCGCACTCGACAAAAATTGCTCTCTGTGTTTGGATTTTTTGTGTTTGAAACTTCATCAGCAAACACTCAATATCCTTTTAGAAAACTTGTTCGTATTTAACCATGTATTTTATCCTCATATATTGTAGAGCTGAGTCTAGTTTAATACCCTTAAACTTTCATGAATAAGTGGATCTCAGAGCTGACTACATTCCAGCAATGTGAACCGGTAGTCATTTTGAATTGTCTTATATAGTTATCGAATCGTGAAAACAGTGAGATTCGACTTCGTTTTCACTTTTTGTCTGCATTTTTCTTAATTAAAATGGACTTTCATTTGCACAAGCTACTGAATTCCTCGAACTTTTTATTTTACTTCTCTCATTGACGCTTGCTGACTTTCCTTTTTTCTAGCTTTGTTGAACTTATATCAATAACGTATGCTCGCTTGTATTTAAATTCTCGTATCCAGATTTTTGTGCAGCCTACTGCTATCAGTTAAATGACATTGCTAGCGAATTTCCTTCCTCACGACTTCAAATTTCTCCTGCAAAATTTGTGCGCAAACTTCAAATATGAAAAATATTGTTGAAAATGAATTTTCTCACCCAATCTTTCCAATTTCTCCCAGAGAATAAAATTTACATAACTTCTACAAAAGTGATAGAGTAGACTTCATGCAAATAACTAGGTTAAACTTTACACAAATGAAATGATGCATCTGATTAGGACCCTAAATTCTAATTAAATTCAAACTAAAAACGAAATAACTTATTTGCATGAAGCAACGCTCCTCGAACGAAAAATTCAAAGATTACGTCAAAAAAAAATTATATCTGAGAAGTTTTATTATGCCTGAATTACGTTTTACACATTGACCAGAGGAAGAGACGTCTTAATTTTTCGTTTGAAGCATAATATTTCTAATGGCATAATATTTCGAATGACAATAAACACTGTAATATGTACCTGGTATGATGAGTGTGAGGCATGGTAAAAATATAACATTCGCTCATTGTAATAATTTTTAGATCTTATTCTTTGTTCTTCAATATTTAGCAATTTGCAGTGATAAAGATTGGTAGTCAAAACCTGGAGGGAATGTGCTCCTTTATCTTCTAGGAAGCAGTGAATCATGGTTTCAGTGTGTTTTTTTTTCGTTTCTGTTGTGTCTTAATTAAAGTGTTTGTTCAGGATAGGCCGAATAATCTTCTATATTGCGTAACACTTTGTATAATTTATTATACGCGAGATGAGGAAGAAGAAGGAGACTTCCAGGAAGCCATTTTGAAAGTTCTCTCGTGATTTCATTTCTCGAGCACATCGTTCATCGAATACATCGCAGGCATCCTCAGTGAGCACTACTGGATGGTCACTCATTCATTCGCCTAATTCCTGCTTTTTGCCAGTGACATGGCAGTGTTTCGTTGCAAGTGACCAGAATGCAACATCTCATGGTAAAATAGATCTAAGATGTTAATTTTTTTTTAATT